ATGGGGGAGGGAGTGAGGGAATGGGAGATGGGGAGGGAGTGGGAATGGGAGAGGGAGTGAGGGAATGGGAGATGGGGAGGGAGTGGGGGAATGGGAGAGGGAGTGAGGGAATGGGGGGAGTGAGGGAGAGGAAGATGGGGAGAGAGTGGGGGAATGGGAGAGGGAGTGATGGGCCATAAGGGATGAAGGACGGAGTGAAGGTGCTAAGCCCTCGTCGCCGTGTGTAGGTGGTGTTGGTGGGCGCTCTTCTTCGTTCGTGGTGGTGGGCGCCCTGCGTGTCTTCACGGTTGTCGGCGCTCGGCCTGTCTTCATGGTGGTTGGCGCTCGGCGTAGGTGGTGTTGGTGGGCGCTAATCTTCGTTCGTGGTGGTGGGTGCCCAGCGTGTCTTCACGATGGTGGGCGTTCTTTTTTTTTGGCAGCGCTCGGCGCATTTTCGTCGTCGTCCGTCTGTCGCTTGTGGCTCTGGGGTGTTGGCGTGTGCTGGTCGTCGTTTTTCATAGGCGCAGGTCGTCGTTCGTGTGTTGGGCGGCTGTGGTTGTCTGCAGTGGTGGGGTTGCGTGACGTGGCAGAGTGCCTGCTCACCATGATAATATAAGCAGAGACGACGGACGACGAGATTTCGTCGTCCGTCGTTTGGTTGCCACGTCGCTGTTGGCGACGTGGCACCTGGCATTGTTGTCAGAAGAAAATGAAAGGGGGGAGATGGGGGGTGCTCACCAAGTAGATGACGACGATGAACGGCGACATCTCGCCGTTCATCATCACGCTACACATCCGTAATCGTTGTTGTCCTGTTCGCGTGAGCACTCACCGCCCTTCGCCAACGGTTTTGCTGGGCCCTTGCGTGGCTGGGCCCTCGTGTTGTCGAGCACTCGTGTGCTCCTGTTGTCGGGGGCTTGTGTGCCCGTGTGCTCGCGTTGTCGGGCCCTCGTGTGCTCGTGTTGTTGGGCCCTCGTGTGCTCGTGTGGCTGGGCCCTCGTGTAGTCGCCGTTGTCACCGTTCGTTGATGGTCATGGTGAGTCGTCGTGGTGGTACTTAGCTTGACGAAAGAAACCAATGTCACCAATGTCACAAGATGTGACATTGGCTAAGGTGGTTCGCTATTCCAACCGTCTCCGCGCCATGTTGGAAGGATATGGCACCTTCGAAATGGCCAATGCAGGTTTTAAGGAAGTCTCTGATGCTCGTAAGATGGATATCTTACGTGAGATAGGACGAGCGTAAAGGTAGTCCACTCTTTGATAGGTAGTCCACTCTTTGATAGGTAAAGATCAACTAGAATTCTCCTCAAGTTTCATCAGCTTGGCTGAATACCATCATGCCCCCATCGTCGTGATCAAAGGCCAAGAGAGTGTCTTCGGAATCCGTGTAAACAAAGCGCTGGTTTTGAGAAAGAAATTTCAGAGATGAGAAGTTTGCAATTTAGCATGCAATCACATATTCTCCGCACTCCACTGGTAGCTTTCGGCGCCCAATCATTTCTTGGTGTTCGCCGACTGGAAGACTTTCTTTACATAATACAGAGTCAGGCCTAGGGCTGTGCACGTCCGTCTGACGGACACGGCCCTCTAAATGACGGGTGTCGACGGGGGTGTTCCAACCGGCAACTGCCCGCCTGAGTCACCCAAACAAAATCAGACAGAGACCAACTGATATAAAACAGATGTAGACGGACGTTGACTTCGACAAACTTTCATCATACGTACGGTAGAACTAAAGGTATTGAGAAGGTATTGAAAATTCTAGTGGTGTAGGCATTTGGCTGTGCGCGTAAGTAATGTAGATTAGATCTAGAGTGGAGATCCAGATAGTGAATCAAAAGAATCAAGTTCCGTGTGCATATTTCAGTCTCTCGAGCAGATTCCATGCGTTGGATAGACGGAGAGTTTGGAGAAGCCGCTGAGGCTGCATTTGATATCATTGGGAACCCCCCTCTTGATGATAATCGGTCGGGTGGAGCATTTTCTTGTCTATTGCATGTTGCATCGACGTCCCAACACGGATCTAAGCTGCAAACTTGAACATGTTGGCTTTACAATGATGGTCCACCACATTCTATTTCATTTCACGTTAAAAGATACAGTAGGACTCATGTAATGTTATCTAATGTTATACACACCAAGTTTGTAGTTAGCAGCTCTATCCCTTTGTACGCTGCTGCATAGTTTAATTACTGTCCACACGGATTATGTAAATCCGAAATGAAAAATCGAAGCACTAATCGAAACCTGACGTCAACGGTCGAGCTCCCGCCAACGCTACCATCGAGTGGGTTTCCCGGCCTGGTTTGAACACTTGAATGACGCTCATGTCACATCGTGTGACATGGCCTCTTTCGTCAAACCACCACCACGACCACCACACGTCAACACCAAGACACCGCCCACACCACCACCACCCTCAACAACGCCCACCACCATCGACGACGCCCACCCATCATCAACGACGTCCACATCGCCACCATCGCCGCTTCACATTCAACACCTACAACCACCACAGCAACCACGATGTGGAAACACGACATGGCAACAACGCTGATGATGGATATGTAACCAGATGGTGAATCAGGTACGTGGTGAGCACACCCATCTCCCTCCCTCTTTTCATTTTCTGACAACGATGTTAGGTGCCACGTCGCCAACAGCGACGTGGCAACCAAACGATGAACGACGACATTGTCGTCGTTCATCGTTTCTGTCTATACTATCATGGTGAGCACCCCCGTCCTTCGTCCCAGGCCAACGCGCTACTAATAACCATGCCACGACATGCTTGCCATGCCCATACATCACCACAACACACCATGACGACTACACCACGACCACGTCATCACCACACACCACGGCCATGACAGACACAAAACAACAGTGCGACCAGGACACCGAAGGGCGAAAGTCGGATGACGACGACAGCAAACAGGTGAAGGACGACGACGACTACCATGACGGTGAACAGACGATGGACGACGACGACCAGGGCATACGAACGACGGACCACGACGAGGAGGAGGGCGTAGAACCAACGGCACGACGAGGGCGTACAAGCGACAACGAGGACGAGGGCGTGCAAACGACAACGACAACGAGGGCGACGAGGGCGTACAAACGATGAGGATGACGAGGCCATACAAACCACGACGACGACGAGGCCGTACAAACCACGACGACGGAGGGCGTACAAACCACGACGATGGAGGGCGTACAACCCACGAAGACACGATGACCCCCCCACCCACCCACACCCGGGATCGAGGCTCAATACTCCACCCTCACTCCCTCTCATTAACTGCCCACCACCCCTCTCACTCATTGCCTACCAACCCCCCCCCATCATTGCCTACCAACCCCCTTCCCCCTCTCTCATTGCCTACCACCCACCTCCTTCCCCCTCTTCCTCTTCAGTGCTCACCACCCCTTTCCCCTCTCCCTCATTGCCCACCACCCTCACCCCTCTTACTCACTACCTACCACTCCTCCACTCCCTCTCCCCTTCACATATAATATTTAATGTAGTAATGTAAATTTATATAGTTGTATTGAATGAAATCCAGAATTCTGCAGATAAATCTACCAAGATCTTGTTTCAGGATATATTTGGAAAATATATGCCTTCAGGAAAGAAATCTTTGTAAGTTATTTCTGCCCAAGGTTGAAAAATCTTTGACTGGTCAAGAAAATTTCCTAGAAATGTTTGGACTCCCAAGAAATCTTTGTGAAATATTTCTTATGAGGTTTAGAAATGTTTGTTGGGCTAGGAAATCTTTATAAAAGGAGAAAGACTTCTGTCAGGTTAAGAAATGTTTGGCTACCCAATATATCTTGGGAAACATTTCTGATCAAGTCAGAAAGGTTTGGCTGGCTAAAGAAAGTTTCTTAAAGATGTTTATCTGATTCAGGATATTTTCTCCAAGTCAAGAGTGTTTCAGTTCCAAAGAGATATCTGTGAGATTTCTCTCATTAAGTTCAAATATGTTTGCCTGGCTAAGAAATATTTGTCAGATATCTCTCATCAAGATCAAATATGTTTGCCTGGCTAAGAAAATCTTTATGATATCTTTTGGATATTTTCTACATGTCTGAGTTCTAGAGAAATATTTGTCAGATATCTCTCATCAAGTGCAGATATGTTTGCCAGGCTAGGAAATCTTTATGCTATCTTTTGGATATTTTTAACAGGTTAAGAAATGTTTGAGTTGCAAAGAAATATTTAAATTTGTGAAGTATCTCTCACTCACTCCACATGTTTGCCTGGCTAAGAAATCTTCATAATATCTTTCAGATTTGGTCTACAAGTTAAGACATGTGGGGGTTTGACTGGGGGGGATGGTAAGATGCACTTGGAGATCTGGGAGCTGAAGTAGAGGCAGAGGTGGAGGAGACGGTGGTCAAAAAATGGAATCATATGACAAGGCCCAATGCAAGAGAGAAAGATGGTGAGAGAGACACTGAGCAGGGGTTTTGGGGATTAGATGAGTTTTGAGTGGTGAACATGACAGATAGAAGTGGGGTGTTGGTGAAAACAACCTTAGAGTGGTGAACATGACAGATAGAAGTGGGGTGTTGGTGAAGACAACCTTAGAGTGGTGAACATGACTGATAAGGTAGACGACTTTCATAATTGTCAAACGTCACATGCCATTACTTTACTGTTACATCTTGATCAAATCAGGTAATAAAACAACTGAGAAATAATTTGAGCTCTTCCTACTCGATTTTGAATGCAGTACGGACCTAGTTTCCATAGATCTACTTAATGTCAATGCCTCTGCAAAAAATTGAGCAACTTGGAGAAAAACTGACTGAGCCTATGCATTTTCAAAATTGACACTTAATATAACAGACTATTAACAGTGCTGGATCAGATAATGAGATAAGTATGCTAAATGTTGTGTGACATGGGTTTGAACAATTCCCTTCTTTCCCAGTTCCCTCATGATATCTTATCTGGGAGAACAATGCCCCTTGTATTTACGCCACACTCAGGCGCCACTGCTGCACCATGCCGCCTACTGACCATTCAAGCCTCTAAGCCTCTTTCATATGCATCCATGAATCTTCAGGACCTAACTGCGAGTATGAGGTAGATAAAAATGCTTTTGGAGACACGACATGACAGCAAGGGGGCTTAATTAGTTGTATACTAATGGTGACTGTATTTTTCTATCTCCTTTACCAAAACTGAACTTTGTTCCAATTTTTTTACTGATTCATGTGTCCAGGATATTTATCTACAAAAGCTAGGTTCTTATGGTACAATAGGACCCCTAGAATTATATATACAGTCGAATTTTGTGAAACATTACCCTTTTTAGCAGCTGTCACATTGGTCACATGACGTTTGACGATTATGAAAGTCGTCTACCTTAGAAGTGGGGTGTTGGTGAAGACAATCTGAGATTGGTGAACATGGCAGATAGAAGCAGGGTATTGGTGAGAACAAACTCAGATGAGTTTTGAGGGGAAAAAAACCAATGTACAAAATATTGAGAAAACTGCACCAGAAAAACCAAGTTTTTTTCTTGAAACTGGGACCCCAGATACCCTGTGACACTGGTCAGATATGTTTGAGCCATGTGACAAGGCTAAAAGATTTTTCAGCAGTGTGACATGCTTAGAACATATCTGAGCGATGTCACACCACTGAAACATTTCTAGCCACTCTGGCACACCTCAAACATTTCTGGCCAGTTTGACTTAGCTCAAAAATTTCTTACCAGTCTGACACACTTCAAACATTTCTTACCAGTCTGACACCCTTCAAACATTTCTGACCACTTTCACTTGACTAGGATATTTTTGAACACAATTTATGTACCCAAACATTTCTGGTCATAATATTAAAGGTCAAACATATTCTACCCAATCCAATATTATATTTTCTCCCAAAGGCAAAAAAATAAATGGTCACACAACCTATTAGCCTGGATACATTCTTACATTTTACAAGGCTAATAGCTTGGTCAAGGTGGGTGACTGAAGTGAGCCAGTCACACCTTTCACTCAGGCCAACGACACCGGCAATCAAGAAGTTGGGCAAACCCAAGTGAAGTATGGGCCGCCTAAGAAGAAGACAGCTATCCGTGCCCCTGCCAACGACGCCGCCATGGGGAAAACCCAAGTGCAGTCTGGGCCGCCCAAGAAGACGGTTGCTGCTCCCAAAGAGGCACAGCGGCGCCCCTCTGCTGCCGTAGAGGTTCAACGGCGCCCTTCGAATGCTCAAGTCTTCGATGGTGTACACATCCAAGCTAGGCTGCAGCCTTCAGGGTGAGTTAATTATCCCTTTCATTCCCTCCACATCGAGCCGACTTAGGTTGCTCGCATGCTGCTTGACTTGATGTCAGCGGCAATTGGTTCAACCAGACTTGAGTCGGTTGCCACAAGTTCCTTGCTCAACCGTGGCAGTCCCACAGTCGCTGACTCATCTCCCAATAGGATTTTAGCCAATGAAGCGGCTGTTCGACCAAACACTGCCAATGAAGCTAGGGTGCAGACTTCAAGGTAATTTGATTGTTCATTCCCACCACATTTATTCCCTCCACATCGAGCAACTTAGGTCGCTCGCATGTTGCTTGACTTGATGTCAGCGACAACTGGTTCAACCAGACTTGAGTCGGTTGCTGCGTGTTCATTGCTCATTGCTTGCAGTCCCCGTGTACTTACTGCTTTGCCAATAGGAATGTTGCCACTCAAGCGGCTGTTCGACCTGTCAATAACCCGGTTTCTGATGCTGTTCACTCCGACGTTGTTGGGTAAGCTTCTGTTCTTTTTTAAGCTTTACTTCTTTTTGTGGGCTGGTTTGGATGGAGTGTCATTCGCCACTTGCGTTGCTCTGGTTTTACCGTGCGACCTCGAGGGAGTGGCCCCCGTCCTTTGAGCTGGCTTAGGTCACTCGCATGCTGCTTGACTTTATGCCAGCTGCAATTTCTTCAACCAGACTTTAGTCAGTTGCTTTTGCTTCTATTTCTCTGTCTGACAACCACACTCTGCAGGCCCGGGCCTGTTCCACACAAGTCCAAACCAGCCCCTGTGCTCAGAATGTACGGGTCTACCCATAAATCTTCGTCTGCTCAACCTACAGCCCCCGCTGCCATCACCACGAAGTTCGTCTTCTTAACCGAGTCCAAACACACATGTTGAAACTCACGTGTCTTTTGTTTTAGTGCGGGCAACAGCAACTCCACGCTATCGGACTTAACCTCAACGTGTTCGGACGATTACGACATCACGCTGCCTGACCAGCCAGAAGGCGCCAATGAATTTGCCAATAGTTATTCAAGCTTCGACCCCAACGATATACCTTCAACCGGAAAGAAACTCACCAGCATCCGGGATGAAGACTTTCATCCAAGGTCATTCTCGATGCATGACCTCGGCCCTGACGAGATCCAGGCTATGAGGGAGGCATGCGAGTCCAAAGACGTAGCATATTGCTTCAGCTATGCTGACAAGACAACTCGCTACTACCATGGTCACGAGCTGACTGAAGGCTGCCAGAGTGCAGCCGACTGGTTCACGACGTACTTCGACGATGAGACGAAGAAGTGGCACCCCATACCACAGGGCTTTTCAGCCCCCCACTGGCCTGAGGACTACGTTGACGCGATCAACATTTTGAGGGAAGAAGACGAACTGCACATCAACTCATACATCATCGAGGCGGCGATGGCATTGGACAAGACTCGTAACTCTGGAGAGGATGTTTTCGAGATCCTCTCCTTGGAGGACGACCTTTCATGGGACGACAAGAACCACATGCGATCGCTTCTCTGCTTGGAGGCGGTCACCTATCGTTTCACCCAGCCTTGGGATGGTGGGTACCACCACTATCAAGGTGCTTTGCCTCGACTGGTGGCTACCACTTTTATGATAAAACTAAGGCAATTGCCTGCAGAGCTGTGTGTATAAGTCCACAAGTTTTATGAAAGGCATTTCATAGATGTGTCCTGTGTTTTCTTTCTCATAAAACCTATGTTCTTTTCATAAGATATAGGCAAGGCCACAGAGTGCTTTTCATAATTAAACCTGTGTGCTTTCAATAGGTTTTTCATTCACTGAGTTAGGTGTATTCATTGCCTTTTTCATAATTAATGGTGTGCACTTTCATTGAATATTTCATTAGGAATTTTGGGTGCTTTCATTGCTTTTTTCATAATTAATCCTGTGTGATTTCAATAAATATTTCATTCACTATGTTAGGTGTATTCATTGCCTCTATCATATCTAATGGTGTGCGCTTTCATTGAATATTTCATTAGGAATATTGGATGCTTTCATTGTACTTTTCATAATTAATGTTGTGCAATTTCAATAAATATCTCATTCCCTAGGTCAGGTGTATTCATTGCCTCTTTCATATTTCATAGTGTGCGCTTTCATTGAATATTTCATTAGGAATATTGGATGCTTTCATTGTACTTTTCATAATTAATGCTGTGCAATTTCAATAAATATCTCATTCCCTAGGTCAGGTGTATTCATTGCCTCTTTCATAATTAATGCTGTGCGCTTTCATTGAATATTTCATTATCAATTCTGGGTGCTTTCATTGTGCATTTCAATAAATATTTCATTAGCTAGGTTATATGTATTCATTGCTTCTTTCATAATTAATGATGTGCACTTTCATTGAATATTCCACAGCTTTCATTGGGATTTTTCATTGAGTATCTCAATATTTCATTCCAATTTCATATCTGCCCCCAGGGATATCATTATGATTTTTCATTATATTCCATGATAGCAATGAAATAGCTATTATGGTCCATCCAATGGGTCATTGGGAGGGTGGTCACATGACAAATTTCCAAAAATGGTAAAAAAACAAAAGTTGTAGCTCTTCACCATAGCTTCCAGAATCAGTTGGAATTATGTCCTAAAGTGCTTCCGTTGTGGAGATATAAGGTAAAAGGTTTTCAAAAGTGCCGCGTTTTTTTTTTTTTTTTTTGCATTTTTCTTCATGAAAAGAACACTAAACAACATGATTTCAACAGATTTAGAAAGCTAAGAGAAGGGGCTACAACTATTGTATCGTGGGAAATTTCTCCCAAAAAGGAAGGTACATGCCCTAAAAGGGTAATTGACACTGACAGACTACAAAAGTAAGTTATAGCCTACAAAGTTTACTAATAGACTACAAAAAAGACTACAAAAGTCGGACATAGACTACAAAAGTTGGACATAGACCACAAAGGTCAGACAAAGACTACAAAAATTAGTAGTGTCTGCTTTTCTCATTACAAAAGTAATAGTGTCCGCTTTTTGAGACTACAAAAATTAGTAGTGTCTGTTTTTTCAGACTACAATGGTTTGTAGTGTCCGCTTTTTGAGACTACAAAAGTTAGTAGTGTCTGCTTTTTCAGACTACAATGGTTTGTAGTGTCCGCTTTTTTCATTATAAAAGTTAATAGTGTCCACTTTTTCAGACTACAATGGTTTGTAGTGTCCGCTTTTTTCACTACAAAAGTTAATAGTGTCCGCTTTTTGAGACTACAATGGTTTGTAGTGTCCGCTTTTTTCATTATAAAAGTTAATAGTGTCCGCTTTTTCAGACTACAATGGTTTGTAGTGTCCGCTTTTTTGATTACAAAAGTTAATTGTATCTGCCTTTTCAGACTACAATGGTTTGTAGTGTGTCCGCTTTTTTCATTACAAAAGTTAATTGTGTCCACTTTTCTGACATATAGTATGTAGTGTGGTTAACTATATATATATAGGTCATTGGGGATATGATTGAAGGATTGGGATGAGTTGACATTCTGCCACTTATGAATAGTTGTGTTTGATGTCAGGTCCATGGCTGTTTTCCATACTAAGCCACTATCCTATCTTTGATGTTGGTTAACCTTCCACTCAGATCAGTATCTGCTGTCCTATGTCTGACCACAGTCAATCTTCACATGATTTTTTTGGAGTGATAAATTCTCTGTGCTACCAATGCAACTTGTCATGTCTTTCAATACCAAGACCAGTTGTCATTGTCCAAGCCTTCACCACTGGGGTCAGCCTTGAGTAGATTGATTTAAAGGTACCAAAAGTGAGTTAAATAGGTGGTTGGTCCTGTCTGTTTTTCAATGTCTATAAAAAAACGCGGCGCTTTTGAAAACCTTTTACCTTATATCTCCACAATGGAAGCACTTTAGGACATAATTCCAACTGATTCTGGAAGCTATGGTGAAGAGCTACAACTTTTGTTTTTTTACCATTTTTGGAAATTTGTCATGTGACCACCCTCCCAATGACCCATTGGATGGACCATAATAGCTATTTCATTGCTATCATGGAATATAATGAAAAATCATAATGATATCCCTGGGGGCAGATATGAAATTGGAATGAAATATTGAGATACTCAATGAAAAATCCCAATGAAAGCTGTGGAATATTCAATGAAAGTGCACATCATTAATTATGAAAGAAGCAATGAATACATATAACCTAGCTAATGAAATATTTATTGAAATGCACAATGAAAGCACCCAGAATTGATAATGAAATATTCAATGAAAGCGCACAGCATTAATTATGAAAGAGGCAATGAATACACCTGACCTAGGGAATGAGATATTTATTGAAATTGCACAGCATTAATTATGAAAAGTACAATGAAAGCATCCAATATTCCTAATGAAATATTCAATGAAAGCGCACACTATGAAATATGAAAGAGGCAATGAATACACCTGACCTAGGGAATGAGATATTTATTGAAATTGCACAACATTAATTATGAAAAGTACAATGAAAGCATCCAATATTCCTAATGAAATATTCAATGAAAGCGCACACCATTAGATATGATAGAGGCAATGAATACACCTAACATAGTGAATGAAATATTTATTGAAATCACACAGGATTAATTATGAAAAAAGCAATGAAAGCACCCAAAATTCCTAATGAAATATTCAATGAAAGTGCACACCATTAATTATGAAAAAGGCAATGAATACACCTAACTCAGTGAATGAAAAACCTATTGAAAGCGCACAGGTTTAATTATGAAAAGCACTCTGTGGCCTTGCCTATATCTTATGAAAAGAACATAGGTTTTATGAGAAAGAAAACACAGGACACATCTATGAAATGCCTTTCATAAAACTTGTGGACTTATACACACAGCTCTGCAGGCAATTGCCTTAGTTTTATCATAAAAGTGGTAGCCACCAGTCCAGCGAGGAAAGGGAAGAACGCATGCAAGACATTTACGAGCAGCTTCAAGACGAAATCGTGGATGGTGGATCGTCTATCGTTGCACCGGAGGTTCGCTTTGAACGCTGGCGTGCGATGATTGAGTGTTTGGTAAGTTATTATTTTCTTTTATTCGCGTAAAGGTTTTCATATTGTGTTCTTCTAGCTAAACATCATCCGGCGCACTGACCCCGAATTCGACATCACAGGCTTTATTGTCTATTCAGGAGACAAGCCATCTGTGCATCAAAAGGACGGCCTTTTCGTCAACTCATCCTTTTTAAAGGATGTCTTCGAGCGCGAAAATTATCCTATTAGGAAGTGGACTGATGTCTTCGCCACTACTGTTCGGTGGGTCATGCGTTATACTCTTTTCGCGTTTTTTCTATTAACATGGCATGGCAGAGCGGCACGATATCAACAGGAATTAAGGCAAGATTTACAGATTGACAACAACCTCGAAAGAAGCAAAGACGTACCTGTTCCAAGCAAGAGCAGCAGAAAGACTTTGGCCACCAGTTCGCTTTCCGAAAGGTTTGCACCCTCGAAGGAAAGCCAGAAAGACTTCAAGCAGATATTTAGGAGCAAATGGCGTACGTCGCAGACATGAACTATCGTCACGTTTTACTTATTTACATCTAGACGAGGCCGTTCCACACCCGAAGAGTACAAGAACTACGATGCCGTTGACAACATTTGCGAACTATGCGGAGATGGAGAAAGTCGCACTCACTGGGTGGCCTTCGAACCAGGTCAACACTCCCTTGGCAATACTTTACCATCCCCCACATAATCCACATGGACTCCACTGGCTTCCACTGGCTTCCACTGGATTCCACTGGACTGGACTGGACTGGACTGCCAATCACAAAACTGGACTCCACTGGACTCCCAGCACAAAACTGGACTCCACTGGACTCCACTGGACTGCAAGCATAAATCTGGACTGGACTGGACTGGGCTGGACTGCAAATCACAAGACTGGACTCCACTAGACTCTCCCAACACAAAACTGGACTGGACTGGACTGCCACAGACCTAAGTTAATTCAGAATTCCTGAACTTAGATCTCAAAACAAAAAATAAAATTGAAGTATATTTATTAATTAAATTAATTAAATTTATTAGATTCTATGTTACAGAGAGGGGGAGGGACACTTCAGTCACCCACTACCAACTGACTTTTAGTCTTGCAAACTCCATGAATACTACGGGACTAAATGTCAGTATGTATATCTATATTGTATATATTCTGGGGCTTGTATATCTCCACTTTTACCTAAATATATTTTGACGTTCAAAGTCACACCAAATATATTTCTAGTGTGTCACACACCCCAAAATATATTTCTTCACTGAGATGGACTCCAAATATATTTCTTATGCCTGGACCCTGAATTGTGACTGTCACACTGCAGAAATATATTTCTGGTCTGGGATGGACTCAGGATATATTTTGCAGCTGGGATTGACCAAGGATATATTTCTTCAGCCACTAGGGGTGTTTGGGGTCCCAGTTCCTAAAAAAACTTGTGATTTTTTTTGGGATGGGGGACATATATTCTAGGTAATTTACCTATTATTTTTTAGGGTTTTAGCCACCCTTCCTTGACTGTTTGTAGCATATGTATGAGAGGTTTCTTTACTGATATGTCATGAAAGCTGAGTATTCCTCTCACTCAAGCAATGGAGAACACTGGAGAAGAAAGCTGGATGTTGTTGTTGGAGTACTTGATGAGGGAAGCTGTGTGTTGTTGTTGGAGTACTTGGTGAGGGAAGCTGGGTGTTCCACATGAGTACAACACAAGTATTAGTGACCTTACCCCAACAACACTGAGCCCCCTGACCATACAAACAGGCCATGGTTGATGGTGCCTGCTGATGAGCCGATGTATATGTTGACCCCATCAAAGCTGGCTCGGCCACCCATATCTTCTTGAGGAGTGGTTCTGTGTGCCGGCCGACCAGCCTAATGATGA